CAACTCTCTAGTTGATTGAAGTGGTTTCCCATGAGGTACAGGTTAACAATTCTGATACCACTTCACACGTACAGTGGAATTGATACGTAAATGGATGGTGGATGGTGGCCGCCAGGGTTCTCACTGTTAGGAATGGGAATTTACAAAGAAGCGACGGAAGGAGGCTAAAATGATCCATTTGTTAATGAATTAGAGTTGGTGACATCAGTAAGAATTCATGTTAGCCAAGTACAGTTACAGCTGATCGCACACAAAAATGTTTATAATGTGTGTATCTACGTGGATTAGTGTACACACATGTATTTCTTTGCTCTGTCAGATGACAAGACCTAAAAGAAGAACACTCTAGTAGCAACGTGCAAATCATCACCCAGATCCTGGGTTCTGATCCCATTCCCCAGTAAAAGGCACTAGGGCTCCCTGGAGAAATGGCTGAGTCCAGGACTGGAGCACTGTCAAATGAGCCTGGGGCACCCTGTAATGCCAAAAGTAAGGAATTGTTAAAACTAAACAAGCAAGCCCACATTGATGGGAGCCAAATGATATGGCTCCCGACAGCCAAAACTGTAATATTTGAACAACAAAATAAATTCTGGATTGGATTATAACCCAAAATATCAATATCCATGAGTCCACATTGATATGAATAAATCACTGAACAAATAAATGGGAGAAAAGAGACAAAATATTCCAGGTATATTACATAGATACTTTAGCTTCTTTTATTTTTTCAAGATTTTTATTTATTTATTTGACAGAGAGCACAAGCAGGGGGAGCATCAGACAGAGGGAGAAGCAGGCTCCCCACTGAGCAGGGAGCCCGACGTGGGGCTCCATCTCAGGATCCTGAGCCGAAGGCAGACACTTAACCGACTCAGCCGCCCCGGTGCCCCAATACTTTAGCTTCTAGAGGAGGGGGAGCATCACACACTACTCCAGTGCGGGCTGCACATTAGGGACCTTCTTCCAAACAGTACAGGATGGAAAGAATGGGAAAAGAGAGTAACTTCACAGTGGAGAAACCCGACAAATACTACTTCACCCTGTCGGCCAACATCGACAGTCATAGGTCAAATTGATAGTATGCACCCTTGATATGATAACAATGGCACTTTACATCAGACAAATTCCAAGAGAGGGGAATTCCACAACACACCTGACTAGTACTCCTAAAACGGTCAAGGTCACCACCAAAGACAAGGAAAGTCTGAGAAATCTTCACAGTCAAGAGAAGCCCAATGAGACAATGACAACTAAATATAAGAGGAGATCCTGAAGCCAAAAAAAAAAAGGGTATTAGGGGAAAACTAAGAAAATCCGAATAAATTATATAGTCAACAATAGTGTATCAATATTGATTCACTAACTGAAATGAAAGTACCAAACTAAGGTTAAGATGTTAATAATCAGGGAAACAAGGTATAAGGTGTACTGGAACTTTGTACTATCTTCATAATCCTTCTGTAAAACTGAAATTGCTCTGAAACATAAGGTCCATTAAAATTATTTTTTTAAAAAGCCAAGAAAGAAAACCCAGAACTTATATGTAATACTGGTGTACAACAGAGGGGATATTACAAATTTATGTCGAAAGGACGGACTACTGAATAAGTGGTTTGCAGAATACTGGATGTTCATGTGGGAAATAAAATTGGATTACTGTTTCACTCCACATATAAATCACAGTTGGACTAAAATTCCAAATGTGTAAAAACAAACTATTTTCATTATCAGAAGAAAATCTTAGAGAACATCCTCATGACCTTGCAGTAGGTAGGAAAGCATAAGAAAAAATTAAAAAAAAAAAACATTAACCATACAGAAAAGATTGATTTGTCCACAGAAAAATTATCAACTTCAATAAAAGAAATGATACTATTTAAGACAAAAAGGACAAATGGTTGACCAGAAAAAATGGTGTTCAACCTAAAATGCCCCATAATTTATAAAATACAAATAAAGAAATTCTATAAAAACATAAGAAAATGATTATCAATAGAAAAATGGGAAAGGATATGAACTGACACATCAGAGGAACAAACAGCCATTAAACAGATGGAAATATGCTCAACATCAGTAGTAATGCACATTTAACACTTAAAATACCATGTTTTACCCATCAGATGGGTAAAAATTACAAAGGCTTATAATTTGAAGCTTGGTAAGAAGTTGGGGGAAAGAATCTTTAATGTACTGTCCATGGATCGTTAAGTGCTTTAACCGCTCTGGAGGACAACTTGACAACATCCATTCAATATTTACATCTTTTCTTCCAAAATATTACAAAAGGAGCAAAATCAAGTCTTTCATCAACAGAAGTATGGTTCACTAAATTGTGATACTATGGAAAAGTATGCCTTAGTTTAAAAGAATGAGGGAGATACACAGATGTATGTATAGATAGAAAGTTTATATAGATATATACATAAACACACACACACACACACACACACACCATGGAAATACAGTTCTGAGACATTACTTGGTATAGGAAAGAACATTACAGAACAATCCAGAGAATGACAGAATCTGACTAAAAAGTAAAGACCTAAAACAATATATTTATATACATCCATATATATTAACTGTTGAACGTACAGAACATTCTTGAAGGATACTTACCAAACGGAGAAAGGAAATGAGATTGGGGGCAGGGAAAGGGCATGTAAAGAATTTCTTTCCTTTTTTATCTATGCATCTTTGATGAGGAGAATGTATTTATGGATTGCTTGTGTAATTAAACTTTTATTCCTTAGTGAAGTAAGTAGAAAGGGGAGGGGGAGAAATGGTATAAGTTTTACATTGAAAGTATTTTCCCACATGACTACTATAGGCATCAGAACAGCTGTGAGCCACTCTCTCCTGCTGCATGAGCACCTGCCCTTCGGTTATGCTCTCCAGCTCTGTACCCTGGAGAGACATTGCTAAGCAATACCGCGTAGGGTAAAAAAGACCCCTGACCGCTACATCTGGTCTGCGAGGAACTACAAGGGAACCGTAAGCATCTCATGCATGCACCATGCTTTGGAGCTTCCCTGAATGCAGGGACTCTTGGAACAGGCACGTCTTCTCTGCTTGACTCAAACCTTGTCGGGACATACGGGTCAAAAAATATCACAAAGCCAGGTGTGAGTCACACAGGCACTTGAGATTTGCACCAAGTGAGCCAGGTACGTGTGGAAAAGTCCTTTTCAAATTCTGAGTAGCCTCTGCTATTTTCATGAGTGACCCTTCGACTGCCCCCATGAACTATAAATACTCCATTTTAATCATTCTTCGAGATAGCTGTCAGCAACAATATTTTGCATTCAATTGAACAGGCATTTTTGGTGAACAGCAAGGCATAAAACTTATTCATTACACAACTGTAGTAAATTTATGGCTCAAATAAATTTTATCTATAATTTCCCAAACGACTATGGAAAGTTAAATCATTCATTTTATATAGTAGAACACAATGTGGGACTATATAAAAACTAAAATGAAGAAAAAAAATTTTTCCAAAGGACCTGGCTTCCAAGTGAATGTCTTTGAGAAAAAAAGATTTTTTTTATGTATTTGAAAATCAAAATCACTTCCTAAGAAAAACTAATCCTCAGTGTAAATTACAGTGGAAAAAATCATTACTGATGGATAAAGACAAGGCAAAATTTGCCAAAAGGTAAGTACGGATATGCTTGAGAGAGCAAAGAGCGGTATTTCCAAATCTGTGGTTCAGCTTTGTTAAAATTATGGTACCAGTACCTGCCCCAGGGAAGACCACTATATCTCAGCTGCTTACAGAATGTCACTGGTTGAAACCAAATTCAGGACGGTCAGTGCAACACAGAGAACATTATTTTTAGTCACACACTGCGCCACTTCTTTTGAGGGGGTCTTAAAAATGCAATGCGTAGCTCCTCAACCCCGCTCACATTCTGTTTTAATAGTTCCATGAAAGGTCCACCAATTTTTAAAAAGTGCTGATTCTCAGACCTATAAATACAGAAAACAAACTGACGGTTGCCAGAGGGGAGGCGGCCAGGGGGATGGGCAAAATGGGTCAAGGGGCATGGGAGATGCAGGCTTCTAGTTATGGGATGAGTAAGTCACGGGAGTTAAAGGCACAGCATAGGACATATAGTCAACGATACTGTAATAGTGTTGTATGGTGACAGACGGCAGCTACACTTGCTGGGAGCACAGCATATACCTACACAGAAGCTGAGTCACTGTGTTGTACACCTGAAACTAACGTAACATTGTGTATCAACCATACTAAAAAACAAACAAACTTTAATTAAAATTTCTTTTAAATGAAAGATAAAAAGTGCTGATTCTGGGGAACCCCAGAATAAGACTTCAAAGGGGCACTGACCTCCCTTGCCCACCTCCTGAAACAGGTCAGGAGCACAGGATTTTATACATACATACATACATACATACATGAGTTTCTTCCCTTTCTTGGAACCCTTATTCGAAGTACCACTGAATCTTACCACCGATAATAAAGGTGAAATATGCTTGTTTGTTTCACCTGAATCCCTTAATGACATATATCAACCTCAGAATCGCTTTTTAACCTCTGGGGACAGGAAGAAAGAAAACGCCAGAGTGGAGTAGAGACTTTGTTTCATTTCTTAAAAAAGTGAGAGGTCTGAAGCATAGCAGAAAGTTCATACCTGTTATCAAATCTCTGAGTGAAGAATAAAAGGAGTATCACGCTATTTGCCGTGCTTTTTTGTATGTTTTAAGATACTCATTTTTTTGAAAGGCAAGACCGTACGACAGCATCAGCATGAGCCACCACTCCCTGGAGAAAGCAGTGGTCCGTCAAGGTCCTTTGACAACTTTTATCTTGGGAGGATGCATCAGAGTTGACATTTTGTGCCCCTCATGCGGGTTTCCAGAAAAACAAGCGTGATCTGTTTGCGCTTACTGAAAGCAACGCTGTTTGCCACGGTGAACGAGGAAATTTCAGTAAGAATGGAAGGAAACCTGGCCCTCGTGGGTTCACGTACCTGTGTCGCTCCCAGATCCTGTTGACAAAGCTGGCATGATGCAAGCCGCCACAGGCTGGGACAGCCACACCACTCTCCAATTAGAAAGCCACAGAGAACTCCAGTCAGTGGCCTGCAGCCACGCTGTCGACCAAGATTTATATACCGAGCAGGCTGTTTCTAAAAAGAGAAGAAAAACACTTTAAAAATAATAATAGGAAAGACTACTAAATTGCAACATTCTGCGACTAATTCAGAGTTCTTATTCCAACACGCTTACCAGAGAGGTCACGATTCTTCCAAATTTTGTCTACAATGCTACGTGCACATATGAAGTGTGAGAGTCTTTGATTTGGATGTGAAATTTCTAATTGAAACCACGAAAGCTCCTCATGCATGTATCAAGGCTTCCTGAAAGATTTTTGCAGTTAGTTTGAGGGCTGCTGAATGCGGACTGAGAACGTAAAGAAGGTTCTTAACGCCAGTGCTATTCTCAAATCCTTTGCCTCTGTTACCGTGATCCCACGCTCTATTTCTAATGCAGAGCAGCGACTCTGTAGATGATCAACAACTTATAAATACTTGTAATTTTTTTAAATAGCTCATCCTAATATGCCAACTGCAAAGTTCTCTAACTGAAACTGCAAATCACCTGGAGAAACGACGAGAATTGAAGATGTTAGAGATTCCCAGAAGGGTTAACAATCAAAACGAGACCTCCCAATCCATGCTAATACACAAAAGTCAATTCTTTTGGTAAAAAACTAAGCTTGGACGCACTTTGAAAAATGCCAATTTTTTTCAAAAGTTGTTTTAACTCTGGTTTATCCGGACAGAAGCAGTAAGGCACTATTTTCTCGGAGCTGAAGAGCAAGGACTCCAGAGTTTGGCCTAATCTCTCAACCTGCTAAGTCTGTGATCTTGCACAATTTATTTAATCTCACTGCACCTTCACTACCGTCTATACAAATGGAGATTAACAGCAATTTAGAACCGTTTGATAATTAAATACGCTAAGGCTCACAACACAGCGTCTGGCACGTGACCAGCAAACAAGAAATGCTGGCTATTATGACTGGAGCTGTTTAATTCAGGCAATGAGATTATAAAATGAAAACATAAAAGAAAGTAGCGAGATTAAAATTTACACTGGCCTGACACCTAGGAGAAGGCCATGTGGTTTAAATTTGGACTGCTGCTGCCTAATAACGGAAAATACACTACATTTATATTTTTTAGAAATCAGAAGCCCCACACAATGTGTTTAAGTCCATTTTTAATGCATTTTTCCCCAGTTCTCTATAAAGCAAATTCAGTAATTTAAAAGCATATTTTAACATATATTAAGAAAAACAGATATTATAAACACTCGAAAAACTGGCTCACTTCAACCCGTGAAGCCTTTAAATTGCTGATTCATATTACAGAATAAGGAATAATGAGCTTGCCAAATTTCACTTGAAAAAGTCTAAGCTGCAAAATTCTATTAAAACCTTCTAAATTAGCTTTTTAACTATCAAAGCGAACGTTAGTATGAAAAAATTCACCAAAGAGACTATCTTGAACCAGACTATCTGAAGCAATGGCCTGCATTTTGTTTCATATTACAGAGGTTGACTAAGTTAAAATATGCAGAGAAGATTGTTAATTGAAAATATGACGGCAGTTATTTTAAATACCAAATAAAATATAAATCATGAAGCTAAAAAGTGAGAAAGACAAGTTTCATTAATGCCCATCTCTGAGGCTGTTTTCCCCAATAATTTTAAGAGGCAACTCTGCTTTGCTTTCATAAATTATTCTAACAATCAGGATTAAAATTCAATTACATAAAAGTGTTCCTTAATTCGAACACAAAAGAAGAAACAGACCATACATGATTTAAAGAAGGCACTCGGGGCGCCTGGGTGGCTCAGTCGTTAAGTGTCTGCCTTCGGCTCAGGTCATGATCCCGGGGTCCTGGGATCGAGTCCCACATCAGACTCCCTGCTCGGTGGGGAGCCTGCTTCTCCCTCTCCC